GGAAACCTTGAGGAGGATGTGTATATGACACAACCTAATGGTTTCGTTCTTGATAGTCAAGCTAATAAGGTATGCAAGTTGCAAAGATCCATTTATGGACTCAAGCAAGCCTTAAGGAGTTGGAACATTCGTTTTGATGAAGCCGTAAAAGAATTCAGTTTTATCAAGAATGAAGATGAGCCCTGTGTTTACAAGAAAGTGAGTGGGAGCGCAGTAGCATTCCTAGTGTTGTATGTCGATGACATACTTCTGATCAGGAATGATATACAAAACTTGCAGTCGTTAAAGACTTGGTTATCCAAGTGCTTCTCCATGAAGAACTTAGGGGAAGCAGCCTACATAATTGGTATAAAGATCTATCGTGATAGATCGCGTAGGTTGCTTGGCCTAAGTCAGAGTACATATATTGACAAAGTACTGAAGAGATTCAGTATGTAAGAATCCAAGAAGAGATTTCTTCCGATGTCACATGGTGTTTATCTCTCTAAGGAATTGTGTCCTAAAACATAAGATGAGAGATAGGATGAAGAGGATCCCATATGCGTCAGCAATTGGATCCATCATGTATGCCATGTTATGTACTCGGATTGATGTCTCATGTGCTTTGAGCACTTGTAATAGATATCAATCGGATCCAGGTGACCGTCACTGGATGGCTGTCCAGAACATTCTTAAGTACCTGAAGAGGACTAAGGATATGTTCTTGGTTTATGGAGGGGAAGATGAGCTCACTGTAAAAAGATACAGTGATGCTAGTTTCCAAACGGACAAAGATGATTATTGATCGCAATCAAGGTTTGTATTTTGTCTCAATGGTAGTGCAGTGAGCTGGAAGAGCTCCAAGCAAAGCACTGTAGTGGATTCTATAATGGAGGTTGAGTATATTGCATTGTTAGATGCGGCCAAGGAGGCAGTCCGGATCAAGAAGTTCATTACTAAACTTGGTGTGGTTCCTACGATTGTTGATCCTATAGACATCTATTGTGACAACAATGGAGCAATTACTTAAGCCAGGGAACCACAGTCTCATCAGAAGTCCAGACACATACTCAGATGATTCTATCTCATCAGAGAGATAGTTGAGCCGAAAGACGTGCAGATTAGTAAAGTGCATACTAACGACAATCTCGCAGATCCACTAACAAAGCCTCTATCACAGCAGAAGCATGAAAGGCACTTGAGATCATTTGGTATTAAGTACATGAATGATTGGCTATAGTGCAAGTGGGAGATTGTTAGAGTAGATGCCCTAGAGCCAATTAATTATTGTAGAATTGACTCTTTGTAATAACGTTCATTAATCAATAATAAAAAGCATTTTATTCTATATCACGTAAATCATTGTTATTGTAATATGTATTGATATATGTCCTTGGAATAGTAGAATCGTGATAAGGGTATCAAGTGTTTCAAATCTTGATAGTGAGAACCCTATGAGCACATATGGTGGCCATTCTAGAAATGTCCATAGCCCCAGTATTATTTTGAAGTAAGGGCACAGATAATACGGTAAGGCTACCATAGTGTTGAATGATCCTATCGAAAGGCAGTGACTGATCTCACTTGTCAAGGTTGTTTGGTGACAACCTGGTACAACACATGGGTGCTTGCTGTAAGCAGATACATCGCAGCAAGTTCACTGGACTGACCCACTAGAGGATTCCATATGGATGGTAACCCCAGTGTCTATGGAATAAATCCTTTAACGAATGGTGGTGCATGTGATCCTTAGACTTGAGATCACTGGAGCGCCTTGTGCACCGATTGGTGCAGTTTGACACAAGCCTAATGCAGTTCTTTTCAAAGCTGTCAATACGGTGGTGATTGGCTGCATCGAGGAGTGTATCAAGACTATGGTGGATAGACAGAGGATTCATCACTCCCGGGTACGGGAGAAGTTATCTCATGGTGTAATTCAGCATATGGCAATGACACTAAAACTGTGGCCACAGTAGGATTGAGTTGTTGCTTTATCCGGATTATAATACAGGTCATTGGTCTAGAAACTAAACACATAATATCGAGAGTAACCGAAGGTTGACACTATTTCTATGCCTTCATCTCATTGAGATAATGTATGATGAAAGGATCGAATTGTATAGTAACCATATCGTTGACAGGTGGCTATTTTGCTGAATCAGAATCTATGGGGTGGCCATGATGCCTTGCCAAGGGCCAATCTTGGTCTGTGTATTAGTGAGACGATTAATTGGTGTTAATCGTGATACTATACACTGCCGGTATGATGAGGAGCCTATGGGTCACACACATAGAAGATAATTTAAAAGCCAAGAAGAAAGAAGGGCGTTTTCGTCTTTTTAGGCAAAAGGGTATTTTGGTAATTTCACAGTGCAATTAAATTTGCTGAGGTCGTAGCCTTTATTTAATTTGTTAGAAAAAATAATAAGTGAAATTACGTTTAAATATGTGTTCGCACATATTTAAATATATTATCATTATTGTTAAATGTTAATATATATTAATTGATTTTAATTGAGATAATGACGGAAAATAAAATATCAAATCGGGAGTGTTTGGTAACATGGGGTGTTTGGGTTGGAGCCCAGGCCTACTCCATATGGGAATAGGGCAACTTGATTTACTATAAGAGAAAAGTGTGTGTTAATTGAAATGTAATTGATTTCGCTTTAAAATAAAAACACACAGCAGCCCCTCTCTTTCTCTCCCACGGCAGAAACACTTTTTGCCAAAAAATCAATTCAATTTGATTTCCTTTCTTCTTAATCTTAAAGCCAAAGAGGATCTAGCAAATCCCTCTTTGGTTCTTTTGTGATTGTCTTCGTGTGGACTACGTGGGTTCGATCCTACGCTTGGGTCGGTAGCAAAACGTTCAAAGGCAAACGTGGTGGAGCCTCCAAACGTGCGTAAGATTCTCTTAACTCATGATTAACCTTTTTGTGCAGATTTTACTTTAATATAAATTGTAAAATTATACCGTTGATCTTGGCTCATGTAAACGATCCTTGTATTATATATTTTTTTTTTCTGCTGCGTATATGGATCATTTACTAACACTATTACCCTACCTAACTGGATCAGCATAGCATCTAGTCCTTGCAGTGAGGCATCTGTATAAATATCATAATCCACACCCTCCTGTGGTAATACCAAAACGGGAGCTATGGTTAATCTTTTCTTCAACTCTTGGAAACTCTCTTCACAGGCATCTGACCATATAAAAGGAGTTCTTTGTTTGGTAAGAGCTATAAGCAGCTTAGCCAACTGAGCAAATCCTACTACAAACCGTCGATAATATCCTGCTAGTCCCAAGAAACTTCTAACTTCCTTTACCATCTTTGACTTTTACCATTCAAGAATTGCCTTCACCCTACTAGGATCCACTGATATTCCCTTTTTGGAGACAGCATGGCCCAGAAATATAACTTGATCCAGCCAAAACTCACACTTAGAAAACTTGGCAAATAGCTTCTTATCTCTCAATTGCTGTAGCACAAATCTTAAGTGTTTCTCATGCTCCTCTCTTGACTTGGAATAAACCAGGATGTCGTCAATAAACACCACTATAAATTGATTAAGATAATCATGAAAAACCTGGTTCATTAGGTCTATAAAGACTATTGGAGCATTGGTTAACCCAAAAGGCATCACCGCAAACTCATAATGCCCACATCTAGTCTGAAAAGCAGTCTTGGCAATATCTTGTTCTGTCACTCTTACTTGATGATAACTCGACCTTAAATCAATCTTAGAAAACACTACTGCTCATTTTAGCTGATCAAATAAATCATCTATTCGAGGCAACAGTTACTTATTTTTCACTATCACTTTATTCAACTCTTTGTCATCTATGCACATCCGTAGCAACCCATCTTTCTTCTTCACAAACAAAATTGGGGCTCCCTAGAGAGAATGACTGGGTTGGATAAAACCCTTATCTAGGAGTTCTTGGAGCTACTTCTTCAATTCCTGAAGCTCAGTTAGGGCCATCCAATAAGGGGCTTTAGAAATCGGTGCTATTCCTCGTGCCAATTCAATACTGAATTCTACTTCTCTTTCTTGAGGTAAACCCGACAAATCTTCCAAAAATACATCTAAAAATTCCCAGACTATTGGCACATTCTGAAACTCTGGTTGTGAGACATCACTACTTTGCACCACATGGGCAATGTTCCTAGAACACGCTTTTCTTAACATCTTTCTAGCCTTTATACTATTTATTAACATACTCAGTTGATAGCCCTTTCCAAAACTAAACTTATCCCCATCATCAAGATTAACTCTTGCTTTCTTCTTCCGACAATCAATTTCTACTCCATACCTCCCTAGGAAATCCATGCCTAAAATACCATCAAAGTCGGGCATATCAAACACTATCAAATCAACTTGTAACTCTTTTCCCTGGATCACTACGAACTCCTCTGGTAGTATCTCATAGGTCACCACATTAACACCATCCGGTAATTCTATCTTAATAGGCTGATATATTACAGCAGGTTTCAAGCCTAATCTTTCTATCATTCCTTGAGTAATAAAAGAGTGAGTAGCTCCAGAATCAATCAATGTATAAAGAGGAACTGAATGAAATAGTAACTAACCGGTAACTGCGGATGGGTTAGCCTCAGCTTCACTCTGTGCCACTATAAACACTGTAGCATTGGTACCTCTGGAAGTTTATGCTACGAGTGCAGGAGGGGTTTTACAATCTTTCATCAAGTGCCCCGGCTGTCGGCACCTATAACATACGTTTCGGCCTAACTCTCTTAAACATTCCCCTGGATGAGTTCTCCCACACTTCGGACATAGAGGAAACTCCATAAAGGAAACTCAGTAGTCCTTGGGCGTTTACTTTGCAAGTCTCTTCTGTTATTCTTGGGCTGAAATTTCTTCTTATTTCTCACCTCCCTACTTCTAGAAACATCACTTCTCTCTCTGTGTGGAGCGAGAGATGGCTCACTCCGTCCTTCTATTGATGGACTGGTTAGGGTGAGCTTGTTCATAAATATCTCCGCCCCTAAAGCTCACTCCAAGGCTTCACTATAGGTCTGAAGGGGCTCGGCACCTGCCATTACATCACGGGCTATTTCTGGCTTTAGCCCATGCACGAACTTATCCCTTCTTAGTTCTGGGGTACTCACTACACCTAGCACAGACCTTGCCAGGAAAATAAATTTCACTAAGTATTCTTTCACTGTACCAGTGCCCTGTTGTAAACCGATAAACTCTTGGATCTTTTCATGAACCCGGTCAACTGTTCTGTACTCAGCCTCAAATAACCTCCTGAACTCTCCCCAGGTCATAACTGCTATCTCATGAGTATCTTCCATCAATTCCCACCATATCCGGGCATCACCCCGAAATAGAAAACTAGCATACCGTATCTTCTCCGGGTCTGTCATGGGAAACAAGGCCGTCGTATGCTCTACGGACCTAAACCACTCTTCTGCCACTAATGGGTCCATTGTACCTCTAAATTTCGATGGCTAGTGTTGGCTTGGGAGCCCATATATAGGCTCGATACGATTTTGTACTGTTGGGGGTACCGACCTTTCTCTTTCTTCCCTGGTGGTCAGTACTCGAACGAGGGTTTCAACTCTTTCTGGTACAACTCTCCCCTAACTTTCTAGTAACACTTGCTGTATAATATTTCGGATTCTCGCCTCATCGAGGGTAGGGGAAGTAGGTTCTGGCGAGTTGGAATTTTCCCCTGCACTCATTGTCTTCTTACTACTTGCTCGGGTTCTACGTCTCATCTACAAGATAACCACACTTGAATTAACTTACAACGGTCGGCTATGGAACGTCAACGCAGCGAGAGTGGCACACTGTCAAATCCCAAAACCTTTGCACTGATACCAAAAATGTAATGACTCTTCTTTCTAGCTAGTATACTTGGAAAATATAATATGATAAAAATACATAAGCATATAAGAAAAAGATAATGGGCCCAAAAATTTCTTTACTTTATATATAAAATTCTTTACATTAATAAACGTCTCATGTACATAAGCTCAAAACAGTGGACAGTAGTGCCATTTCTCTCCGCTCCTCGACGTCCATCCAACCGCTTCTCACCTATTTCCTGCAAAAACATTTAGAATTGTCATTTTTCCCTTAAGGAAATTTCTCTAGAATTTTCTCAAGAATTCCAACTAGCTCTTTTCCCTAGCGAAGATTTTTCTTTGCCTCAGCGAAGAATTCCAGAGCATACATCGCAGCGGCGAACTTTCTTCTTGGCCGCGGCTAAGCCTACAAATCTTAAACTCAATTTGGGTAGAGAGTTTGTTGCCGCAGCGACCAACTTCCTTGGCGGCGGCAAAGTCTGCACTTCCCAAATTCTTCAATCTTTCACCTAAACACAAGCAAAACTCAAGGAAGTAAAAGCATAAATAACTTGCCTCAATGTGGGTGTTACACCTCAAACCATTATCGCCCACATCAATCATATATAACTTCACACCTTTATCTGACTTTAATATAGCAAGAGGTACCTTATAATGTTTAGGAACTCTGCTTAAAACATACTTCACAACTATATCACTACGTGAGCAACTCAAATCCCCTTTTCTAATTATTTCATCAATCAACTCATCAAAACTAACCTCTGTGCTTACAACAATTGGTATAACTTATTTGCTCTTCCCAATCCACTTCCAGCAACTTTCTTCCTCCACCCACTCACCAAAATATTCAACACCCCAAACAAACTGTCCCATGTCTAATAATAGCCAAGCACCTATAATATAAGAAAAAAAAATATATTATTAACTGATGTATTAAAGGTTGAAAGATTTTAAAAAGCATCTGCAAAGTCACTTGAGCGATTTGGTGTATCGCTTAAGCAAACAGGTATATCGCTTACTAGATTGCTTAAGCAATATAAAGGATCGCTTAAGTGATCTTCTACCATTTACCTGATTGCTTAAGCGATCTGCTGACATACTCCAGACTTATGGCAGATCGGTTAAACGATCTTATGCCATTTACTTGATCGCTTAAGCGATCTGTTGCCATATACCAGACTTATAGCAGATCGCTTAAGCAATCCATGATCTGCTGCATTATACCAAACATACCAGATCGCTTAAGCAATCCATCATATGCAGAACATATTTTCAGTCATCTCCACCTACAATCGGTGCTACCACCCCCAGCTACCCACAATGCAAGAAAATATGCAACAAATTTCACTCCTTTCAACTTGCATTACATCAAACACAACCAACAACCTAAACAACTAAATCAAAATCATAACCCAAACCCAATCCATCATTAAATCTTTGTAAATCAAAATATAAAACGGAGAGGGGAGATACACATACCTGGACGAAATGTCAGGAGGAGGAGGGGGAGGAGGATCTGTAACACCTTCTATTTTCTTACTAATATACTCAAACACATACATACATAGTATATGAAATATGGTTGGGCCCAAAATGTTTCTTTTATTTATAAAACATAATTCTTTACATATACAAAAGTAGTATACACAAAACTTATACACAAGGGACAGTGGTGCCTTTTCTCTCTGCTCCGTGATGTCCATCCGACCGCCGCTTACCTATTTCCTGCAAAACATGGAAAAACAACAGGGTGAGCACAAAAAGGCACAGTAAGTAAATCCTCTACGACTTATCCCCACAACTTAGTCTTGGTTCTTTCCTTACTCTAATCTTACTCTTCTTTATTCTTTCTGTTCTTTTTCTTTCTTTCTAATTCTTTCTATTCTTTCTATTCTTTCTTTCTACTCTTTCTATTCTTACTCACCATGATGAACATCATGGTAATATGCATGAATGCAATGCACTCACAATAATGCATAGAAATGTATATTCTTCCTTTCTTTTCTTACTCAAGCTATTCTTTTCTTTTCTTTTCTTGTATGCTTGAGTTTTCTCATTCTCATTCTTATTCTAGCTTATTCTTTCTCATTCTCATTCTTATGCCGATCGGACTCGATTGATGCACGGATTCGAAACTCTGGCCATGTGAGTGAGTACAGTCCTTATCTACATGCACTCGTACGGACTGTACAATTTCTTTCTTATTCTTGTGCCACTCAATTAAGGTGGATTGCATGTAGGACTTTCTTCTTGGTACAACCCTTATCCACATACACTCTTACGGGTTGTACAATTTCTTTTTTCTTCTTATGCCACTCAATTAAGGTGGCGTGTGTGTGGGACTTTCTTCTTATCACTCATGAGTTCCCCATCGCAACAACCTATTCTTTTCTTTTCTTTAGCACTCTCTTTCTTTAATTCTTTAGTGCTATTTCTTTCTTTCTCTTTATTCTTAGCATTCTTTATTCTTTCTTACTCATGCATATGCAAAGATATACATGTGGATGATATATGCTTATGTTTCTTTCTTTAGTGCAATCATATAATGCAAAAATGCAATGTTGCACAAAAATAAGTTCTCTACTCATGCATATGCTTCTCTTAAGCATTCCATCAAACAATAAGCATGCATAATTAAATTCTACTTTAACTATAGTTCTATTTCTTTCTTGTACCATCCATATGTGGAGTAAAACTCCTCCATAATAATTCTAAACCTATCAAGGAAAGGCACTTCAAAAATCTCTACTCAATTTCTTCTCAAATTTAGCCAAACTTCCATTGGCCATCCCAACCTTGACTCTGCTTCTCATAACTCAAAACAACCATTCATCAACCCAACAACTCATCCACAATTACAATCTTAGCAATCAATCTCACAATTATAAGTATATAAATACAAATCAAGTCATATAAATACACATCAAGTCATTTGATTGCTTAAATCTGAACTTGGGTTGGATTTACTTACCTTTTTCTTGAATTCTTCCACAAAAGCTCTCTAACTTGTTGGACTTGCTTCTTCTCTTAATTCCTAAGCATAAACTTAATAAGAACTCAACACTTACTCAACTTAAATATAAACTAGAGCATGAATCCTTACCTCTTGGTGCTTAGGAACAACTCTCTATCAAGAGCCAACTAAAAGCCCTTAACAAACTTGGAAGATTAAGTGAAGAGTTGAGAGGAAATAGGGAATGGAGGAGGCGGTGGAAATGAGGAAAATGAAGGGATTTAGAAGGCTAACCCTCAATCTCATAAACTAAGCCTTCCTTCCCATTTTACCCTTACACTTTCTTGAAAATTCCATCCTTATCCTTTAATTCTTTACACTTGCACCCCCATTCTAAAACATTCTCCATGAAATTTCCTTGCAATTCACTCCCCACTTTGCTTTCTAATTAGGGGTAGAATGGTCACTTTACCCTTATGGAAAATTTTCTTGAAACTTCACAAGAAAAATCTGCTGATTCTTCACCCCGACGAAGTTTCTTTCTTCGCCCCGGCAAAGAAATACAGAGCGTACGTCACCGAGGCGAAGTCTGCACTCCCAAAATTCCGCAAGACTTCAAAAAAATCAGGGCATCCAGACTATTCTAACAACTTAAATAACATGTCCATTTAACTTTGGCCAATAAATAGAATTTAAAAGCAAATGAACATGAGTAAAAAAATATACCTCAAAGTGGATGTTACAGGATCTGTGGCGGAGAAGATGTTAATGGCGAAGGATGAAGATAGTGTTAATGGCAGGAAGAAGAAGATGTACAGGATGGAGAAAGAAGAAGATGTACAGGAAGAAGAGATGTAGACGAAGAAAAAGATGCAGAAGAAAAAGAAGAAGATGTAGACGAAGCTTAGAAGAAAAACCACCAGGGGTGGGAGGAAGAAGAAGAAGGTGTTTGGGTTTGTTTGCAAGAATTTTGGCTCTTTGGGGACATATTATAATTTTTAAAAGATTACACAATACTTCATTAATCCTAATTAACCACTAATCATGTTTAATTAACCTTAATCAATAACAAAGCTATTTACTTAACACTTTCAAACTACATGGCCTTTTTATTAAATTTGAACTTGATTTGGCCTTTTAATTAAATGCCCCCATATATGACCCTTTATATTATTTTTAAGTTCTTTTTGCATTGAGTTCTGTGTAACAACTGCTGAAAACTAGTACAATGCATGCATAATTACAATAGAAAATTAGGCCCAAAACTTTTTTTTCATTATAAGTCATATGTCTTTTATACACAAAAAGTATTGTTTACAAAGATTCCTTTTAAAAGACAAAACAGGGGAAACAGTGTAGCTATTGCTCCTCGCTTACCGACGCCCCTCCGACTGCATCAACACCTAGATCCTGCATCCACAAAGGAAAATAACGGGGTGAGCACAAAATAATGCTCAGTAAGTAAAACCCTCTATCTGCCTGTCCCCGTATGTATAACTCTTAATTCTTTCCTTATACTATTTCTGTTTCTATTTCTGTTTCTACTAAACATCATGGCCTCATCTTACCGGAGGTACGGCCGGATGGCGTTCACACAGCACCATCTCACTCTCCATGACTATCGGGTGGAATTCACACAGTACCAACCCGTTCTTAGTGACTACCG